TGATCTTATTGAAGCATTTCCAGACTATGAAATATGGGTACGTGAATAAGATAGGGAGAAAATCATTTTTTTCCGTAGTTCTAGTTTCTAGGTCACTGGACATTCGCTTGGGGGTTCAATGGCGTCACTAGGAGCTTCCTATATCTTAGGCGAAAAGTTGGCCACAAAAGAGAAAACAAAGTTGGTGACATTTGGTCAGCCAAGGACAGGCAACGAGGCGTTCAAAATCGCACACGAAATGCAGGTCTACATTTCTTCACCCTGTTTGTATTCTTTACCCTAAGGTTATGTAAGAGCTTAAATTAGCATTTTCTCTTTTTCTTTCAGTTTCAGTATCTAAATTATCTTCATTTTTTTTCAAAAAGTGCTAGAAACAGACTCGTACATAGAAATCGGATTACATCCGCGGTGTTGCTAGTCAACAAATTGTGATACTCTGCTAAATAGATAAGCTTTGTCAACAATTGGAAGTTACTATCAATAATAACCCATAGAAAAATTACTATTTTTGTACTCTATATTATAACTTTTCAATTTCTAGTCCGACTACGTTTTCCGCGTGACTCATTGGAGAGATATGGTCCCTCATATTCCAAACGTTGGATATTACCATCATAGAGCTGAGGTATGAGTGGCAACTTGATGTATATCTGCTAATGCAGGGCAGAGGTAATTTGAGGTGTGATATTAGAACGTTGAGAGTTAGCGTTTAGCTATCCGAAACTTTTTATTGACTGATTTATAATTAAGGCGTTCTATCCGCAAGCTATGATGGCTTCTAGAGTTAAAGTTTGTGGAAGTAAGAACCTATCCGTATTATTTTTTACTCTTGGCACATGGCACACGATGTGAGCATACTCTTTTTTCAGCTGGTGAAGACAAAGGCTGCAGCAAGGGATTGTGGGTAACTGCCAGTATCCACGATCACACGCATTATTACAACAAGCAAGTCAGCGAATACGGAATAAATGGATGTATTTGAATGTCTGTATATTTGGCAAAATGCAGTTTGCATAAATTTTACTAGAGCGTTGAACCCTTCATAAATACAAAAGTGATCTAAAATGTACTCAATGATCATTCTCGTAACGACCTCAAACCAAAATGTTAAGTGAAACTCCAATTGATAGATTATATGCCATTGGATTGGTCAAGTGTTGGGACAAAGGAGAAACAACTTAGGAAAAGAGAAATAGTTAGAAAATAGGGAAGACTGATTAAGACAAGTTCGACAATCACTTGATATGGTATTCCGCTAGAGGCATGAAAAATATAAGCTGAAAAAGAGTAAATACATACAATATTGTTGCTGCACTCATGCAAAGCTTTAATTTTGTTCTTCTAACGCTCAGCATGGGAAATAATGTCAAACTAAGAGATGATTTGTTCAACTTATTTGTCACTTTGCATAGCAGCAGTGGATGCAGGTTTCTTGCTTAAAGTACTGGATACAATGCTCATCTGAATTAATGCCAATGCTTTGCCTCCCAGAAGTTTAGCTGCAAGTCTGCGGGAAAATTAAACTTCACATCAGGGGAGGGATGAGTTGTCGTTCGCGCTGGACGTCTATAGCTTACATTTTGGGGAATATTTCAGAATTGACATTAAAGTAGTAAACTATGTGATGTAAGGATTGTGAGCATTAGCGATTTCTATTCCAAAACATATGTATCTAATATCCATTGGAATTCCCGGCTAAGGTTCTTCTGCAAAAAATTTACCATAGCAATTAAAGCATCTAAAACAATTGTATTCTAATTTACGTCGATTTAGGATGTTTTGGGCTACAGTAAACGCAGTCTACACTGGTCATTGCAAATCGCCTCTTACTATGTGAGGTGGACGTAAGGAAATCTCTACTAAATTCGAAATAGAGATGCAGCATAAAGCAAGGAGACTGAGCGGTTATATGGGAAAATGCACATTGGGAGACGGAACTATATAGCGTTTGTGGAAGAATGTTTGAAGCTGACAAGCGATTTCCACTTAAGCGGGCCATAGTATATTAGTGCACTCAACAAATAGCATCACTAATCAAAACAGATCGAAAGTCAAAATAGTTCACCTTGGTAATAGCGTGCATTAGGGTTGTAAGAACTGACGCTCTAGAAAACGCCTACATTACCATCATCCTAAACATGCATCAGTGTATAAATTTTTGCAATTCAATAATCATTCATGAATATCCTCTGGAATATCAGTTGAAGTCATACAATTAGTGGTTGATCAAAGTCTGGAATTCAATTTTTTTTATTAGAAAATATAATTGGCTACACCAATATATCGAAGATCGAGGTCAATCCTTTCATAATTCTATAAGTCTACGCTTTGTATGGCTAACAGCCAGTTTTTCAGATTTTCTGTTCTATATTCAGAATCTGAAACTTAATTTTTTATTGTACTCACATATTACTGCGAGTAACAGTACCAAACATGAGTTGACAGGAGTCATAAATATCTTTTTATACTT